ATCTTGTGTGTAATTATAGACAAATGTACAAGCACTAGTTTGAAACTCCATGGGAGTAAAATAGCCATTAGTATATTTCATAATCCTAGATTTTAACAGCTTTTCCAACAACAAACTGTCTAGGTAATTACCAATCTATCTGAGAATTACTATGAACTTTGTACCTTTTTAGTTCACTGACAAATGACTATTTGCTATTAGCCCAAGAAATAATAATGTATTAAAATATTTGCTTTATATACAAAAACATAAGATTGTATTTAGACTACACCGAACTTCGTAGCCCAAAAATATTTTTTAAGGCCACATAGAAATCTATGAATCAGAAGCAGGACAAACAAAAATCAAAGTGCTTGCTGATAAAGTTATTTTATACCTGGTCATATATTCTGGAGGAATGTTTCTTGATTCTACAGGCAAATTTTGCTGATATTACTGATAATGTTTTGCTTGAAACTTCTTAACAGAAATAAAAGCATATTTTTTTAAATTATTGTATTTGGTACAGGATCTCATAGGGATCCTCCTGTTTTCATTCTCTCAGGGCTGTGACTACAGGTGTGTGCACAGGTCTATGCCACCATGCCAGGTCTCGGGGCACATGGGGGGCAGGGCAGCACGTGGTGCTAGAGGTCGCACGTGTTAATTCTTAAGAATCCTAACCCCAGGATTAGGCAGCTTAGTGGCAGAGCACTTCCCTATAATGCCTGAAGGCCTAGATCTGATTCCTAGCACAATTCCTGACTCCAAACATGTAGGATACATTAGTTTAAAGATTTAACGTAGCCAGGAATGGTGGTACATGTCGGTAATCCAGTACTCTAGGAGGCTGAAGTAGAAGGATCACAAATTCAAGGCCAGCCTGGGCAATTTAGCAAAACCTTCTCTCAAAATTAAAAATTTTAAAAGGGCTAGGGAAGTAGTTTAATACAAAGACCCTAGATCCAAATACCACCAAAAAACAAAAGGAATTTCTGATCTCAAAAAACATGGTCAAGTGTATTGATCTGATTTTCTAAATAACTCATCTTGAACAGCAACTCAAAAACCACATCTGAACTCACATTAATTTGTGGCATGGGCCAGCATAACCAAATTATTAAAAAATATTTGACTAGTAATTTAAATGTTACTAACATATTTATCTCATTTCAAAACCCTACCTTTCATTCTACTAAATCTTTTTTTTTTCTTTTCAAAGTTTTATTGATAAACATATGGCAATGAGACAGTTTCAAATCAAATTGAAAGTACAATTTCAACAAATAATATACTGCATATATTCTTCTTAGTGGTTAATTGCTGTACAAGATGCAGACTTGTGATC